TTCCACCGAAACAGAGACTTTATACATTAATTGATTATTACGCACAGGAAACGGTCTATTGAACGATTATTGTGAATTTTAAATATTCAATTATCCAACGCAGTAAACTATTCAATAATAATTTAAAAAATCAACTTGAATATGTTTTTCGGGGGGCAACGTAAAAGTACAGTTGTGTTAATGGCTAAGTAATAATAACCAAATTACAAATGTCGCGGCGTCGAGATTTACTATATTTTTTGCAGAATGTTAAATTTACCGGTGAAAAGTTTTTTTGCTACTATTTCTGGAGTGTCGTTGATTTGGATGAATTTATAATAATAACGATCATCGGAAGAAATTGGATCATAATTAATTCATTTTGAGCAGGTATTCAATTTCTTAATTTCGTCGTTTTAAATGTTCGCGGGACGGAGTGAACATTTTTAGTATAAACTTCGAAAAAAAAAATTCATCCTTATATGATTTACGGGATTTAGTTGAAAAAAAAAAAAACCAGCAACATAAAATAAATAATACATAAAATTATTCGTTCGGAGTGTATAATAATATTTTTTCCTGACGTTTTATACACTTTAATTGAACCTGCGTGGATATTACACTAATATGACATACACGTGATGTTCACGCAGTTCCAGACGGAATCTATTCATAAACGTGTACAAAAAAAGGCACAGTACTTTCGTGACACTTTTAACGTTGTTAAAATGCGTCGTTCATAGTCTGGCGAATCTCTTCCTTTCATCTACTTCAAGAGTAACGTCATGTGTGCACTTATTATATTTTATGAATACAGGGATTTCTCGCAAAACACTTGTATGCGTACAAGGCTTGTTTTGACTCTAGATTTTTTGATCACAAAAAATATGAAATTAAAAAAAAAAAAAATAAATAATCGTAAAACTACATAGATTTTGCTCTGGGTAATAAAACACTGTTTAATTTATTCAAATCATTAAACCTATAAACTATAAACGCCTAGCCTGCTGACAAAACACACACATACACGTATATATATTTTCGTATTATTTGAATTAATGTCACGGAAAATAAAAAATAAATACAAAAAAATCTTTCAAGGATTCGAAATCGAGTGAAATAAAAACTATATCAAAGAAACTGTATTAAAATCACATGTTGTGACCATCATAAAACTACGAATCAAATAATATTTAAACTATAAAACATATTCTGATAAATTTATCTATAGAATGAACATGAACGCATAAAATTATTGTATATTTAATTGCACAATGATGTGAAATAAAATGCATGGTCTTGTAAATATTTATACGCATTTGTACCGAACGCTCTGTATAATAGATATCTATATGATACAGAGTTGGTAAAAACTCGGGTTTTTTCGGGTTTTTTCCAAATTAAACCCCAAAAAACCAAAAACCTGATGGGTTTTAATGTAAAAGTAATAATGTTCTATCAGGTTTTTTCAGAAAAAACTCATCCGAAAACCAGGTGGGTCTTATTGTAGAATATTAATGGCCAGTTTAATCGGGTTTTTTCTGGAAAAACTCATCCGAATAAATCGGAATTTTTTCCATGTATTAGCTGCACTTTTTCAAATCAATTTAATATTTTAATTGGAAAAATAAATAATACTTATAAGGTAAATTTTTCTGAAAACTAACACAAGTTAAAACAAAATAAGAGTGAATTTCTATTTTTTCCAAAAAACCAGCCCGGATTTTATGGGTTTAAAAAAAAAAAAAAAAAGAGTGGTTTTAATCTAGAAAAGCAGCTCAGGGTTTTTTATGGGTTTTTCAAAATATCAAGTGGGTTAACCCAGAAACGAGTCTTTTCGGGCCAGGATTTTTCGTGCCAACCCTGATAGATATGATATTGAACCGGGTCGTAGTGCTTTCCATTTTGAGAAACAATTGAACGGCAGCGAACACCTATGTACTACAGTGTAAGTGTAGTGTAGAATTGTACACGCGTTTCTGTAATAATGTGTAGGCGAAGTTCACGAACATACGTATATACGTGCCCGCTGATAGGGAGTGCGAATGTGTGTGTGTGTGTGAGGTAAATTACTATGATGGACGTGATATATTAATGTACGTATATACGTATATAAAAAACCGCTGTATGGGAACCCCGTAAATCAAACCACGGGGTTGGAAGCAATGGTATAACGGCGGGTATACGGACACGACCGCGTGCGAAATCGCTAATCGAGTGTACGGCATCAGGTGAGTGTCCAGGGCGCCCATGTCATATCCATTATGGTTCGAGGGTGAGACCGAGAGTTTTACTTTACGAACATTAGTCCGCCGTGTCAACGGGAGACGTGACTTTTTTTATTTTTTCCTGAAGAAAAAAATATAATAACAGTTATTCCTGGCCACGCTCGTCGTCCATACCGTTGGCGCACCCGAAACGGTCGACTGACGTGCGAAATCAAATAACAGATTTCGGCTCTCAGGGCACTTACCGTAGTCGTCGTACGTGTGCCATGATTGTTTTAATTATACGAAAAATGACGTCGAGACGTTTTTCGTTTCACTCCTGAAGAATGAAAATACTCGACCCACGGCGGGCCAGTGTCTAACTACTTTATTCGTATCGTTTGGAAAATTATTACTATTATTATTATTATTATTAGCGTAAACAGTTAATATACAATATACGGTTGATTTTTCAGCTGACGAGTGATTGTTATTGTTTATTGTTTCAATATTTATTGTTTTTACTGATTGAGAGAAAAATTACGAAGTTCTTATTCGTCATTAATAAATGCTATTATGAAAAATAATCAATACAATTCTATATTAAAAACAACCTTTAAGTTCAAACTTAAATCATTGAAATACGAATATATATATAAACTATAATTATCAATTATCAATTAAAAAATTAATAAATAATTTTAGCGATTTTAACGATTTTATAAACTTTCTTAAATATTCAGAATAATACAAATAACATTTGTTAGAGATTTTTTTTTATTTTTGGACGTTAAACATCTGGGCTCTACCGTTATCATAATGTATATGTGATATTTTCTTCTAGACCTTTTACACTATTAGAGAACAGTGCGAATCACTTGATCTCGTTTCGTAATACCCAAAACAACGTAGGACGAAATCGATGTAATAATGTGGAATCGTGACAGAAGCTGTCCAACCAATTATGCCTTATGTGAAGTGGCGCGACTAGAGTTCAATTATTGGGGGTGCTACATGATTAACCCACACCCCCTACTGATACACATATCCAATATTTAGATTATTAGGCATTAGTATATTCATAATACCATTATACGAGGTGTAGCTATTTTATCGTAGTGCCTTTAATACCTCTGTTGAATATGTTTTTACAGTCTCAACTGATTCAAAATGTGTCCCTTTTAATGTAGTTTTTAATCTTTGGATTAGCAAAAAGTCGCATGGAGCGAGATATGGCATTTATGGGGGAATGTTGCAGCATTGAAATTCGATTTTTGGCCAGAAACTGCTTGACAGGTAAAGCGTTAAAGCCAACGAGTAACCTTAATACAAGATCAACGATTTGTTTTTTCATAATTTCGGTCACATTTTTCTTATTCTTTCTCTGAGTGCTGTTAATATTTGTAAATAATAATGTTGATTTATAGTTTGTCCTTTGGTACCCATTCAATAATATTCATCCTCCTAAAATAATAAATACAATCAACGTGGCCTATAATTTTGACTTACTCATTCGAGCTTTTTTCATTCTTGGCGATGCAGACGTTTTTCAATGGTTTATCTCTTAGGTTCCGCATCATATTTGAAAATCCAAGTATCTTTGAATGTTAATTAATAACTTTTCAAAATGTTTGGCTTACTTCCCATGTGTTCGAAAATATTTGTGCAAATTTGTTGCATACCATCTTTCTGTTCCTGAACGAGGTTTTTAGGGACCATTTTAATGCACACTTGTGTCGTATTTAATTGATCATAAAAAAAATGTGTACAACGGTCTCCTTGTCAATATCATTGATTTTTTGAAAGTTACTGTCAGTTTTTGACACGTCGTCTTCCACTTTATTACGACCTACTAGAAATCGTTTATGCCACTCAAAAATACGTGGTAGTGAAATAAAAGCATTTTAATACACATTTATTAACAAACGTAAACTTCCCATGGCATCTGGAACCATGCCGTTATTTATAGATATTTTTAATTTACAACGAAATGGGGGTGCTCTAAATTCTGTAGCAACCCTGTAATCGTAGTACTGCTTGTGTGGATGCGATCACACGGCGAACTTCAAATGATGTTTGTCCTTTATACCTCTTTTCGAACACCAATCCCGCATCCATCGCATTCGACGAAAATCCAAGGAATCCTTTAATTACAAATTTAAATCTTGAATTTTAAGTCCACTTCTTACGCGCATGCCCTTTTGGGTTCTGAAAACAACAACAATAATATGTCCGTAAATGAAACGTTTTTATCGAAATCCTGTTTAAACTATTAACCCACTCATTATCTTTTTTTACCACCACCTTAAATAATCTTCCATAAGCGCACCAGCAACACTTATGTACGCAATCCACAATTTTTCATTAGACCGTTGTCTAATTCTTATTAGGTGTGTACGATCTTTATTATAACCGTTATCTACCGTATTAGCTACAATCGTTTGGTTGTTCGTACGTAAGCTATCGAATATTAAACACGGTTGTCGGGGCCTCAACATTTTACTAGCGAAGACTTGTTGAATTTGAAAAGAAATAAAATAAAATAGAAATAATCGTAAAAAATAGCAAATATCATCGCGCGGTCGCGAAAATCCGTCTTCAGCTCTCGAATAATACGGCCGCAATCGTTTATTTGTCACGCGTCCGATTGCCTGCGAGGGAATCGAACATTTCGCGGTGGAACGGTGTACACGAGCGCATACGCACACGCGCCCCGCCGTTAACGGGCTCACGTTCGGCTCGTGTCGGGGTCGATCGGCGGTGGTGGCGTTCGTCTTCGTCGCGGCGCTGCCCGCGTTACGGATGGCGCGCCGGCAGCAGCAGTGTGCCGTGCAACGCCAACCCGTCGACGACCGTTCAGCCGCTCGCGCGCCCTCCCCCCCACTGATCCGACTCCCGCAGCAAACGTCCGCCGGTCAAAGCGCGATCCAGCCCGTCGCACCGACCGACCGACCGACCGACCAACGTCCGCCAGACGCCGTGCCCGTTGACCCGCGCGTCCGATCCGTCAGTCCGTCCGACCGCGGCCGGTGTCCCGTCGGTCGCCGCGGCCGCTCGCACCGAACGCCTCGAGCCGTCCACGCGCCCGACGCCGTGTCAGCCGGTCGCCGGGGACCGGTTATGCTGGTGGCCAGTGCCGTCGGCCGCCCGCGCACGCGTCCCGCCGCACCAGCGTGGCCAGTAAGGTGACTGCATGGTGGGCTCGCCCGGTGGATAATCCCGCCCGTTACGGCATGCCAATACGCCGAGGACATGTCACCCAGCGCACCACTGTCATAGAGACCATCATCAGGAAGTTCGACACGCACAGTGAGTATACCGGGGCCGGCCCGTCGTTGTACATTAAGTGCCGGTCGCGAATAATCCCATCCTCGTCCCGCGTCCCGTAACAACGCGATTAACAAGAATAACAGACGAAAACGTTACGTGACGCGTGCGAGAATGGTTAACATAAGTGATGGGAAAATATTCCGGATTCGCCCAATTCCGAGCACGTACGGATTTTCCGGTTCCGAAACCCGAATTATGTTCTAAATGCTCCGATATTAAAATCGAAAATTTCGCTCTTCGAACCGGCATTTTTTCGTATGCGTTACTTGTAGCGAAATAAATTGCATGGTTTTTTTTTTTTTTTTTATTATTAAACTGATACATTTCAAGAATGATTTTAACTAGTAAAAACTACTGTTTTATATTACCGTGCGATCAATAGAATATCAAAACCGCTACAACACGTTCGACAAATTTAAACTCAATTGTGTACGCGTGAACAAAAATTGGATTTCGGAATTCGAAATCCGTATGTTTGGGATTTTCGGCAAATCCGGGTCATATCACATCTCTAATTGATACGACTCCATATCGTACGTTTACACGTCCGTTTTTGGTAAAATTAATGAAATTTTTTTAACCCCGTCTCCGTTTACCCCCGAAGTTTATTTGATGTGTGAAAAAGCGTTATTTTTTATTTCCTTTTTACACATATTTTCTAACCAAACGCGAATCGCTACGACAGTGTTTTTTTTTTTTGTATTATCGTTTTTCTCTCCGATTTGTAACAAAATCATGATGTCGGTATTGGACCGACAAGTTCCGAAAACTTTCGACTACCACCGGCTAACCATGTCGCACGTTCCAGACGAACTCACACTATTGTTCTAGTTCAAAATTTCCTCTACCGCCCGGGATCACATGGTCACAATGGATTTCGCAACGTCGGAAATCGACTACAGTCCCTCGGCTACGATTATACTGATACTTGAGCAGATTTTTCTGTTTTCGGCCCGACCGTTCTCCATATGTGTTTTCGCGTTCGGAATAATATAGCTGCCTCGCCGGATAACGGAATAACGCGTATTATGCTCACTTACATCGAGTCCATAACGATTCACACTGAACCGCATTGAATCTACGATCAACGTGCAGCGGTTACAAATGAAAAATCCTCATCAAACCATCACAGTTGTCCGCAATAAATCCTATGATATTTCCAAACCAATTTAGTTGACTTTCAACGAAACGTTGATTGTACTAAACCGTTTAATGCGAAACAAAAAACTCCACTTTAGCCCTGTATATGTGATAAGAAGAAAAAAAAAACACTGATGTAGTACTTATTTCGTTAAGATATTTTCTAAACACACATTTCTACCAACATAATAATAAAACGGTTTCGTTTTTGATTTTATAAATATTATAATAATCTTATACTCACTTTATTTTGTCTTAACTACTATGTTTACTATGTTTACTTGTATATATTTATACTTCAAAATTTATTTCTGATTATACTAAATCATATAATAAATATACGAAACGTGCACCCAAAAACTATTCTTATCGATTCAGATTCGTGGTTAAGATACACAAATTAAGATGCAAATACAAAACTATAACCTATAACTTTAGCTGATATAATCATAATACAGTATACAATTTATGTAAACATTGCGTTAAATGGTCGCAGTTCTGCCAAGACAGTTATAGTACAACAAAACATAAAAAACAAGATATATCGTGTGGTATTTGTTGTATATTAAACTTAAAATAAAATGATAAACCTAGATACTCGTACTCGTATCATACGTGAATGGTAAAAATAGATAGAATAATATACAATTAAAAATGGGTCATTTTTTTTTTCTCCGAAATTTAAAAGTTACCGGTGTTTCCAAATTTCATTAACAGCTGCTAAAAAAAGAAAACATAAAAGTTCATTGTATATATTTTTTAAATTCTATAAGATAAATGTTTATATGTAACTAGGTCCATCGAAGCTAGTTTTTAAATTGTTTAAAAATATGTATTTAATTATGTTTCACGCGCGTATATTTGTCATACACAATATAAATTTAAATAATGTATAATCAATAAATAATCTGAGAGAAAGTTCACCGTACATCTAATTTTTAACGTTTGAATTAAATTTCAAGTCTTAAGTAAGCACCATTGTTTTTAAATCTCGTTTATGATTCAATTGAAGTTTTTCAATTATAACTTGTACGAGTGTCTTGAACAATATTTTTACCCAACCGACCCACCTTAAGCCTCGATTAAAATGAAATAACTTAGTTAAAAGGTATCGGATACTTGGAAAAAATGTATCTATAGGTATGCAATAAACCTTAATAAACAGGATAAAAATATGACGACAGGCAAATAAGGAATTTAAAAAAAGAATAGAATTAATGCAATTTAAAATTAAATATTGACGTTCTGGTATTCATTATTCTACTAAAGAGTAAATAGAAAAATAACTAAAAATAGATTAAAATATAATAGTTCTCAAAATTAAAAAAAAAAAAAAAAAAACAATAATTTTTACCAGACGTCTGTTTCGCTATATTGCAAGCATTGGTACATAAATATGTAAAAAAAGAAAAAAATGCACACTGTGACATCAAAAACACGATAATAAATCTCTAATCAATATATTGTGTGTGTTTTTTTAATTTGTTTACAAAAGTTCTTAAACCTAATAATTACTAAAAAGTAATAAATATTTAGAAAAATATATTTTAATTTTCAAAATGTTGTGCACGTATTATTTATAAATATTATTATTGACTTTGTTTTATAATATGGATAACACATTTACACTAAACGTAAGTAATTGTTCTAATGTAATTCAACGAATTTTTTCAAGTTTTAATAAGAAATAAACGTCTATACGTACATTTAAAATAATTATTATAGTCACATATTTTTGATTCAGTATAGATAGTTTAGAAATCATAACATTTAACTTACCTTTACTGTAACGAAATCGAGTGTAGTGCGTCACATATTTTATCCACTTTAAGAAAAAAGTTTATTTTTTTTTTCATTCACGTTTATAAAAGAAAAAATTAAAACTATTAATTAAAACACATAAATGAACACGAGTAGCAGTACAATCAATAATACTTAAATAACTATTTTATTTTTTGTACGGTTAACATAAGCTTTGCTAAATATGATTATGATCAGTTCGAAGTAAAATACTTGTTGGCCTATTGAAGTATATAATTTATCTTTTGAATAGATATGTTCTTTTGTACTTTGGAAACTTTTGGTTTTTTCTCAAAACGATTTGATAACATAAAAATAAAACTATACTCGATTGAGAGAATATTCTCATTACTTACCGATTCTCAATCCAGAACTAATTTTATTAATACAATATGTGTTCATTTTTAATTCTTAAACATGTACTATGATTTTATTTTAACGTACACAAAACGCAAATAATTCGTTACGAATAAATTATAGGTACACAATAAATAAATAGAGTTAAAATATTGTCCATATAATTATTATTGACCATTTATTTTGTTTAAATACTCTGCATTAAATAACTATCCTAATAATGATACGATATCGGTATGTCACACATGTCATTTATTAGTTTACATAACGGAACTTAAGAAAAATAACATTATCAGCATATTGAGGTAACATGTTAATTTTTTTATTTTAATAATAATTTGTTAAAATGGTAAGTTTTCAATATCCAATGATATATGGTTATTTTTTCGACGTAAATTTGCAGCGTAAATAAATACATTATACAACAATAAAATAGTCATCAATTAGGTACACCGTTTTAATTGTCTATAGAGTTAAAATATTTATTTTGTTTATTTTGTTAATTTTGAATTATGATTTGTTTTTATTGGAACACGACCAAATAATTAACTGAAAAAAAAAATGTAATTAATTTTACACCAATATTCCAAATCAAATTTGTATTAATTTTATTGGTAAATTAGATTAATATTTCTTTTTTTATTCAAATATCAACTATCAAAATTACAAAAAACTTTAAATAAATGTAAATATTGATAAAAACTATGAATATTAAATAGAAAAAAGTTCAATTTCTTTTTCATGTTGAATGATCTTTTAATTTCTCTAGCTTTTTCGTTGGATAGTGTTATTATTTTAAATGCAATCGCCGCAGTTGTTCCGTTACGAAAATTATTCCGAGTGGAGTTTGGTTGTTATGCAGAAACGATAAAGAATAAATCGAAAAATTAAACGCGTACCACCTATATATTTAAAAGATTTGCTTTCGGGTTTTTAAATGTTTTTAAAAACTTTAAATTGTTATTACATAATAAACCTGTTCAATTCGTGTTACAAAGTGGAGTTGAAGAGTAACTTCTTAAATTTTTTACCAATCAATTTCTAACATATTAAACTTATAAAAAAAAGTACACATTATTGTAAGTCCAATAGTTTCATCAGTTTTTCCCGGAATCCGAAAAAAAAGTAAACTGATTTATCGATAAAAGTGAAATAATGTTTAATCAAATAATATTATGTAAACTTTAAATATTATTAAATATTTGGACGTACTTAACAAATAACGTTTATTGATTCCTAAAATAATATTTATTGATTATGACAATGTTTTTAAATATTTAACTATGGGTGTAACGATATTAATCAAAATACGTAATAAATTTTCATTTAGGATTTCTTTTGTTTATTTTAAATACAATTTTGTCCCGCAAAACCTTATAATAATAATAATTACAGTAATAATAATTGTCATAACTGTTATTTAATTATCAATAAAATAGAAAAGCGATCGAAATCTGAACAATATATTATTTTATATATATATATATATATATATATATATATATATATTTTCTTAGAGTTTATTCTTATCCACTCCTAACCATGTAAAAAATTATGTGATTTGTGAATTCATAATTTTTAACATAAACGATAAATTATTTGATATTGTTAGTAAAACAAAAAATAAATAAATTATAAAACCTTCATGAACTACGATACTACGTTTTAATAACGTTAATATG